AGGCAATTGTTGTAGCTGATGCTCTTAGTAAAAAAAATCTCATGGATAGCTTACCTTCATCTGAGCTATCCATATCCCATTATCGCTTTCTCTTCGAATAATTTGTTTTACTTTGGCGTTCGTCCCATAGTGAGTATTGTCGGCTCACATTTCAGCGTATGCCATGCATGCTTGCAGTACCGAATGGTACCAATGGGTTCATCCACTTTATTATGGGTATTGTATGCATGGTTTATCGTTGAATATGTGAGGGAATATCTAATTTACTGATCAGTGAAAACAATAAGATGGAAACCATCGGGCTTATCTCAAATTCTTTCTATTCATGTTTAGAGATAAGAAGAAATTCCCATGGTTGTCCTTCTTGGGTTGTCGATGACCCACTAGGGATGCGAACGGAAGTGGGTGAATGTCACCATAGATTTCCTGTACAAACCACCTGGTACACGTGTAGACTATAATGACGTTTCGGTATATGATGGTCAACTCACTCAGCATATTATCTACAGTCCGCGAAGACTATACTTTTGACCACTTGGTAGAATTCTTCATCCTAGACTTTATTTGACTGATGCCTCAATTTACATCGACTGCGACCGTAATCCCATATTCACCTCATGGTCCTAGAAAGTATTTTAGTCCACTTTGGGTTCGTGTTTACCCTAAAACACCTATATCATTTCCAAACCAGAGAGACTATTCTGGAGAACCACTTAGATCTGAAAGTTTTAGCCGGAACCATCAAGCATTCAATCACCCATTAACATCCTGTCGAGTGAATCATTACCACTGGTGTTTGTATATCCCTAAGTTTATCGTTATAACAAGTTGTGAAAGTTGGAATGGGGAAAAAGTTCGAGTTCCCATTTATCATATTACTTTAGACAACCACTCGAGTTGAGTCCACATTCAACCATCTCGACTTGCCACCACATAATCAAGTTAGGTACTTACACATATTCTTGCATCAAAACTACGCATTCACTCCAGTTGCCTTATACTTTAGATTTGTTGGACTTGTTTTGACCCTTAAATTCATGGGTGTTCACTTAGCCTTCTCGATATAGCTGTTCGCTAAATCCGAGAGAATTTTTTTTCAATAAATTAGCTTGTGCAGGCGTTGTGAATTACATTGTTCTGGTTCTCGATGTATCATCACTTTTGTACATCATCGTGATGTGCATTTCACTTCTAAGTTTTGTGAAGTTTTCGTGAAGGACTTGAGTACTAAGTTGTTTGTCATGTATCACATTTTTATTCGTGGACTGTTGGACAGTCTGAACGAACTATCTAGACCTTGGAAGACGTGTTGTGTTCTTTTGATTTGTGGTTTCTGAATAATTATATTTTGCACCAATCTTTTTGGAGTAGTTACAACAATAGTTTTTATTTATAGTTTGAGTGTGGCACTATTTGAGACTTGGTATGATTGATTCTATTGGCAAGACTGGTTTGACAGTAGAGTTTTGTGAATTGGTTTTTGGATGTTTGATTTTACGATTTGAGAAACTGTGTGCTTGTGTTGTTGTCGCCTTGGTGGTTGGACAAATTGGAATGTTTACACCCTTAGAAAATTACTACTTGCTTATCGAGAGAACAATGTGTTGTCGATATCGCTAATGGCCAACTGTAATATCGATGACTTATTCGTTGGGTTTGTTAAGCAAGTGGGTAGGTAGACCAGTATACAATAGTTGTTACTATTTAGTTATTATTGGGGCTCGACCCAAAGACACACACCTGTTCTCGGAGTATGTGACGTTATGAATGATTGGGCGAGACCCACTTTCATTTTCGATTTCGATCTTCAATACAAGTATTTTGATTTACCTTATATTAGTTACACATTGTATTTTTGACGTTACAATTGTTTGGTTGAGTCATTTCCACTTTTACTGCTAAGTTCAGAACGAGTTTTTTTACCTCTATGTTAATACATATCTATTTTGACGTTATCATATTATACGTACATACTTTTGACCTTATGTTATTATATATTTTTGACATTATACCCTTATAAAGTATGTTTCTACTTTTATACTAATGGGGGAAGAATGTATGAGCCTGGAGGCATCCAAATGGAACCATTGCAACCCGCTCGCGACGGTGTGGCATATTCTCTTTGATGCAACCGCTCTGACATGATTTCTTCTTATATTTATATTCTTCTTCCTATCTTCAAGTATTTACTTTTCGTAAGTTATTTCAAATTTCGAGATGAAATTTTCTTAATGGGGGTAGATTGTAACGACCCATCCCGGAATTTACGAAATGGAAGGGTATTTTCATAATTTCCACCTTGGGTTGAAAGATATTTTTTTAATGTTGCTTTCATGGGTTTTAAACCGTGTGCCATTAGGGCCCATTTCCTTTTTGGTTCCCCGACTTCTCCCCTTTCTTCCTTTTTGAACCTGTGCCTTTTCTCCCTCATCACAACTCTCAAGTCCCTCTCATCTCTCCCTCTCGTAAGTCTTTCTCTTTACATTCACCTTTCATCTTCGAGCCACTAACACCCAAACAACCACGACAACGACGGTAACACCACCACCATCACCCTCACTATTTGCCTCATCTCTTTCCCCTTCTCTATGAAGCACAGAGACACCTATCAATGGCTGAGCACACCCACCATGTCGGCCAGTTCTTGGTTTCTCCGACTAGGTAAGCCCCTAACCATCCAAATGACTAGTTTTTTATGCAGAAATCTACTCGGGGAAACTTTCCCAAGTTTCGGGGAAGGACTCGTAGCTTCCAGGCCATTTTCCGACCAACTCTGACCACCTCTCAACCTCTCATTGGTACGAATTTCTTCCTTGTTCCTTGGGCTTCATTTTGGTATTTTGCATGATAGGTTTTAGTTGGGATTTGAATCTGAACGAAGCGGGGAGAGCTTCGGCCTTCTTCTTCCTCGAAACGGCCAACCCGGCCTGGAAACAGGTCAAACCTGATCCACAAAACCTAAGCCGGCCCAATTGTCCAACCCAACCCAATAGCCGAGAAACCCAAACCCAGTTGCCTAGGCCCAACCTTGGGCCCAAAACCCTCGGCCTAACCCAGCTGAACCGGCCCATCCTAAAAGCCTGGCCAACGCGTGGGTTTGCACGTGGGCCTATGTGTGAGTGCCTATCTTAGCTCCACGTGCCTCCATTTAAGGTACTGTGCTCCGCCGCCGTCCACGATAGCCCCATCGACTTTTTCGACCAACTTTTTGATAACCCAAATTAGCGTATGGCCGTTCAGGCTGCAGCCTCGCGGCGTATGGGGGTACCCGAGGTCCCCCCTTTGGTTTTTCAACGTCCTGAATCTGTTTCTAACGTCCATTTTCTCAAATTCAACTGTTTTAGTATAGTTTTATTAATTGGTACCTTTACGTGCTTAGGTGCAATTGTTTATGGTGTTTTCGTCCTCTCTAGTTTGCACGACTCTTCGATGACGAAGTATCTATGAGTGGACCCATTCTAAAATGTATGATTTTACTATTAGAAGTGTATACATGAAAAGCATGATTTAATGGCTAGTTTTATGGAACGTTTATGAGTAAATTGGTTTCACGCTTTATGAATTATGATGCATTATGATGCTTTATCAACTTTAAGTTCTTTGTGGTATATATGATTGATGATTATATACATGCTTATGAACGTGATTTTACAATATGACGTTTTTGTTACTGAGCTCCGTTTTGAGATAGATAGATTGATATATATATATATATATTATGTTAATGTTTTTATGTGCTTACTTAGTGGTTATCCATACGAACTGCCTACGAGCGAATGGTCCTACCTACAGGCAAATGAAATCATTAATTGGCTTCGGTCGGGTGATCTAGGGCCTACGGACGAATGATATTTATATATGGCTTTGGTCGGGTGCAGACTGGTGGCTTCGGCCGAGAGATGTAGTGCCTTCAGGCGAATGAAGATTTATATATATATATATATATATATATGTCTTGTGCTACTACTACTAAGCACCCTATATACAATATATGTTTTATGAAAGGTTTTATGGCATGTTAGGGTTTTCGGAAAACCTATTACATATTATACTATTGAGTTTTCATAAATTTTGGGGGTTAGTACGTTGATGAATAACTATTTTAGTATCACTTATATATCAACTGGGAGCCACTCATGTTTTTGTTTTGTTCCCTCTCGGGACTTAGAATCGAGGCGTACAATCCCAGCATCAAGACACTCCCCCATCGGCATCTTCTAGTCCTCTCGGTGTGGGACCCATTCCTTTGCTCATTCAATTTTATATTTTTCCTTTTTAGTGTCTCAAATTAGTTGTATGCTCTGAACACGTTCCACAATTGCATACTCATTATAATTAAATTTACAAGTTTTATTTATGTCGGTTAATTGTTTCTAGTTCTCATGCATCATAATATGGCTTCATTACCTTTGAGTGTCAACAAACATGTGCATTCCCTGGTATTTGAAGGATACCAAGGTTGGGCGTGCCAGAAAGTCTGAATATTTTTGGAATTGCGATAGCCATTCCGTTCATTTTGTTGAGATGAACAAGACATATTATGTCATAACTTGTTCTGATACATGTAGCCCCAATACATCGAAGCTTATTGTCTATGGACAAAGAAATACAGTTTCAACAAAAAACAACAAAAAACTAGAGCAAACATATAATAATGGATTCTAAATTGTAACCAAACGTTCCTTATTAGATAAATAACGGTGCAACATTATTTTATATTACAAATGTTACATTCGAAATGACTTATCATCTGTAACATAATTTAATGGTCGGTTGTCTTCAGAGAAATTTATTCAATTTTAAAGGGAACTTTAATGAAAATCTCTTGTACTGTTTACTTTAACGAAAAATCACATTTTTACATTAAAAAATCAATTCTGATACTATTCATTTTACCTTTTATTTTATCTTTATCATTAAAACTCAAAATTTTCAAACCTTTTTCATATGTTTTTTTATTTTAAAATCGTTTAGGTCCTCTCTCTCCCTCTCTCTCTCTCCAAGTCCCGAGCTTCGTATGTGTCCTGTTCTGTGCATCTCTCAGTGGAAACCAGGCTTACAGTAGTCTACTTTACTCACTCCAATACTGAACTAACTTTCCACGTTTTGTTTTGTTTTCTTTCCCGAGTTTCAGCAAAGGATCCCTTAAAAGGCGAGTGAAATGAATCAGCCATTATTGTTGTCTTCCTGGGTTTTGTGGTCTCGCAACAAAACAAAACATGGCCCTCTCTTCTTCCTTTTCCCTCCCTTCCATTTCCAAGGTATTCTTCTTTTATTTCTCTTATAGTTTCTTTGTAGTTTATAGATTTGTGCTAGTTTTTGATGAATTTATGATCCACTCGAAATGGGTAATCTCTAGTTTGGCATATAGGTTGAAAAGTTGTGTTGTTTTCTTTGGATTTGCAGTTTGGGTGCAGCAGAGATTGTTTCTCTTGGCCTTAATAACTCTTCTTCTTTTGTTGCTGCGTATATAATTTCCAAATGGTATATATAAATTATATAGAAAATTAGAAATCAAAGCAATTTTTGTCATAGTTTAGAGCTCAGAGGGCTCATGAAAGTAAAATGCTGTGTGAACTTGATGGGTTACTTTGCTCGAGTAATTTTTATTGTGCTTCTGCTGCTGTCAATACTTGTAATGTCGAAGAATTATTGACCGATTCATAACGTGTTTAGTTACTCTGTATAATCTTGTGATTTGGGAACTTCTCTTACAATTGAACTTCCGTTTCTTGTAGATTGACCACGCTAAGAAGGCGTTGAGACCTCGGAGTAATGATAGAAGCAAACAAAGGTTCGATTTTCCACTCACAAGTAGTAAAACTGAACTGTTTGGTCATCAGCTTGTGACAGTGGGAGCTCACTTACACAAGAGCTGGAGTTTTTTGGGAGGTTCGAGAGTTACTATGAGACCAAGGCATGAGAGTATCGTTCCACTTCGAAAAATCTCTCAAGTATACACGTCATGTGATCCCCTCTGCCACTTTATTTCCTTTTAGTCATGTATATTAACATCATTTTACGTGGCTTATTAAATTTTTGCATATCTTGCGAAGTTCGAAAGTAGTTTTATGCATGTTAGTAACTTGTTTATTACTTCAGACATTTCTTCTAGTAACAGATTCCTAACACAGAGGTATTTGAGTTACAAATTTAGGATAAAGATTCGCAAGTATCTCATGCTATGCCTAAGTCAAACAAAACTATGAAAATTGAAAAGTCTGTAGCATGTTTCGGGTGAAGCCGTTGATATACCCCATATGTGCAGAACAATGTAGGGATATGAACAAAAAAGCTGTAACTTAGAGACCACCAGGTTTTAGCTGCTGAATGGTTTTTTAAGATCACTGTGAATGTCCTGCTTGCCAAACTGACTCGATCAAAGTCAACCAAACATTAGAAACACTTGCTAGATAACTTTTTCTGCCAATGTTCTTGTCACTTCTCGTTCTATTGTTTTGGCTGTTGGGTACATATGGTATTAACATTTTCGCCCTACCTTTTAAGTTTATTGTTCTCTCTTTCGGAAACTCCTGTAATAATTTCTATAAAGAGTTACTAATAGCAGTGTCATATGGTGCATGTAAGTTTGATAACTTCTGGAATTGAAAAATCTTTTAGCCATTTCATGTTCTTGTGATCCAGACGTTTGCTGTCACGCCCCTCATGTTACTGTGAGGACAAGGGGATGGGAGTGCTGGAGGTAGGCTTAGTTTCAAATAATACTGATAAAATAAGTTTGATGTTCTTTTTGTTTTACAGGGTTGGCAAGTTCTCAAATTGCTAGCACTGCTTTTACTTTCGGAACAGCCTCAGTTCTCCCATTCTATGCCCTCATGGTTCTGGCACCTAAAGCTGAACTAGTATGTTTCTGTATTTATTTTGGTCCTCTGAATTCCATTCAATGTATCAGTTTTCGTTCAACGTGTAGATTAATTATCATAGTTGTCGTATATATTTGAAAGCTGTCAGTCGTGTGTGTGTTTTTTCCCTCAAATCGTTACATCTCTTTTCCTGAAATACATGGTTGCACTGATGGCATATTTCATCTCAAATTGAGTCTTTATTACTCAAATTTTCCTCAATCTCTTTTCTCGGTAGGTTAAAAACCCCTTTTTTTCATGGTTTGCTGAACTTAAACTGATGCACCTAATTATTTCTACTCACGTAAAACGCAGACGAAAATTTCCATGGAAAGTAGTATACCGTATATCGTGCTGGGAGTTCTCTATGCCTATCTACTATACCTCTCTTGGACTCCTGAAACGCTCCAGTTGATTTTTGCAAGTAAATACTGGCTTCCTGAGGTATGTATTAGCACATATACATTCAGTTCTGATACATTATGAAAATGTCTTCATACGAAACTCTTCTTTTTCTGCCTATCTACTATATGTGCAGCTGCCGGGTATTGGAAGGATGTTCTTGAATGAGATGACATTAGCTTCTGCTTGGATTCACTTGTTGGTTGTGGATCTCTTTGCTGCAAGGTAGCTCTTTTCCTTTCACTTTGCTGTGTCTGTGTCTGTGAGTTTCTCGGTTCTAACACGCGCGTTCATTTTTCCAGGCAGGTTTTTCGTGATGGACTGGACAACAAAATTGAGACGCGACATTCAGTTTCTCTTTGCCTCTTTTTCTGTCCCGTTGGAATCGTTACTCATGTCATTACCAAAGCACTGACTAAAAATGCTGGAAGTTCCAGCACACGTAATATGCATTGAAAATTGAATTTTTTCCGCAAGAATCAGGATTTTTCGGAAGTTGAAAAGAAAACCCTGATTTGAATGATTGAACGCATGAAGATTCTTATGTTCGTCGGCAATTTACAAATATGTTGTTCTCGTTGAAAGCACATATATCATACTATCTTTGATCAAATACGTTGACAAGTTTTTTTTTTTTTTTTTTTGTTTTTGGTGGTTTACATCACTAACAGGCGGATCTATGTATTATTACTTTTGATTTCACAAGGAGAGCTAAAATTCTACCATGCTCCAGAATTTTCAGCTGTTAGATGCTGGTCATTAGATTATTGACCACGGATCTAATGAAAGTAACACAACAAGCATACACTAATGAAAGTAACGTAACATGCTTACACTAATGAAAGTAACATAACATGCATACAGCAAAATGGGCTTCCTTGGTGAATCATAATGAAAGTCGTGAACAGGCAGATGGGGAAATATAGAGTTTCTAACTTACTAAGGTCTAAGAATATATGGCCGCGGTGGTGGTGGTAGCGGCGGACATTGCTCCGGTGGTGGCAAGAAATGAATGGGAACATTAGGTTTCGGGTGCGGTGGCGGTGGAGACCACTCCGGTCGTGGTAGGAAATGAAATGGAACATTAGATTTCGGTGACGGGGGCGGGGATCTCCTGTAGGCTCTTCTTGATACTATAAATTCACCCATGGGAAGGCCAGAAAAACCTTGAGGAGCGGCCGTCGCGGTTGCCATGTAACTGGACTGCGACATTACTACTAGCAGTTGCAGAAGTAGTAGTCCATGAATGAACAAGAAGGTAAGAAAACTTGGATTGACAGGCATTTTTGGGCTTCCCTGTTTCCGACTTGGAGTTGGGAGGAGAGTCATGACTCGTAGGGGATTGATGTTTCTTTGGATAAATAAGTATTAATTTTCCTATTGTTTGCTTCTTTCAAAAAATAATATTATTATAATACATATACCCCCTATCTCTAATATAAGTGTGTCACAGATACAATGATAAAATTCACCTCAAACCGGAATTATCACCCCGAATTTCAAACCCATTCTTTGTATATAAAGCCAAAGAGATGGCAGCAGAATTGCTACCCCGAATTTCAAATGACACTCTACTTTAAAATTATCTAAACTACAAAAAAAGAATTCAAACTTAAATCCAAAGTAATGGAGCACACTGCTAACCAACTTAGCTAAGCTTATTTATGTTTATGTATAGGACAAGTTGAGTAATATGTGACGCCCTTTTTTCTTTTTTTCTCGTCATCTTATTCTTTCCACTGAAGCTTCTACTAATCAAACTTTAATCCTTGGATTTGTTTCTTGTGAAACAAGTTAATTAATTTTGATCATTTTACTTGCTAGCTTTGCCAATACCAACCCCACTCTTCGTAATCTCACAATTGCTCTCACGTGCTACTCTCCAAAGCACTGGTGAAGACACCAAAGGATTTGTAATAGGTAGTTTATATAAGATAGAAACGATGTTGTTTTGATGGAAAACATCAGCGTTTCTCACCGTACGATTTAACTGGACGGCTAATATGGGGTACAGAAAAAGTTCCGGAGAGAATCCGAGTCCCTCATAATTTATATTAAGTCGAGTAATTTGGATGCATCTACGTATTGACAGTAATGTAAAAAGCTGCAAGTACTTTTAGCCATTTCATGTTCTTGTGATCCATACGTTTGCTGTCACGCCCCCTCATGTTAGTGCGAGGATAAGGGATGGAAGGGCTGGAGGTAGGCTTAGTTTCAAATATTTCTGATAAAATTGCTAGCACTGCTTTTACTTTCGGAACAACTGCAGTTCTCCCGTTCTATGCCCTCATGGTTCTGGCTCCTAAAGCTGAACGAGTATGTTTCTCTATTTACTTCAGTCCTCTGATTCTCATTCAATGTATCAATTTTCGTTCAACTTGTAGGTTAATCATCATAATTGTCGTATATATTTGAAAGCTTATATGAACGTATTCACTATTCAGTTGTGTGTGTGTTTTTTCCCCAAATTGTTACATCTCTTTCCCGAAATACATGGATGTACTGATGGCATATTTCATCTCAAATTGAGTCTTTACGACTTTAAATTTCCTCGATCTGTTATATCGGTAGGTTGAAAATTCCCTCTTTTTTTCATGGTTTACTGAACTTAAACCATAAATGGGGGTAAGGCTAGCCGACATTCACCTCTCCTAGACCCTGCGTAAAGCGGGAGCCTTGTGCACTGGGTACGACCTTTTACTGAACTTAAACCGATGTACCTAATTATTTCAACTCATGGAAATGCGGATGAAAATTTTCATTGAAAGTAGCATCCCGTATATCGTGCTGGGAATTCTCTATGCCTATCTTCTATACCTCTATTGGACTCCTGAAACGCTACAGTTGATTTTTGCAAGTAAATACTGGCTTCCTGAGGTATGTATTAGCACATATACATTCAGTTCTGATAAGTTAGGAAAATGTCGTTATACGAAACTCTTTGTTTTTTTCTGCCTATCTACTATATGTGCAGCTGCCTGGTATAGGAAAGATGTTTTCGAATGAGATGGCATTAGCTTCTGCTTGGATTCACTTGTTGGTGGTGGATCTATTTGCTGCACGGCAGCTGTTTTCCGCTCACTTTGCTGTGTCTGTGTCCGTGAGTTTCTCGGTTCTAACACGCGTATTCATTTTTCCAGGCAGGTTTTTCTCGATGGACTGGACAACGAAATTGAGACGCGACATTCAGTTTCTCTTTGCCTCTTTTTCTGTCCCGTTGGAATCGTTACTCATAATGCCAAAGCACTGACTAAAAGTGCTGGAAATTCCGGCACACGTAATATGCATTGACAATTGAAATTGTTCCGCAACAATCAGGTTTTTGCGGAAGTTGACAAGAAAACCCTGATTTGAATGAATGAACGGATGAAGATTCTTATGTTCGTCGGCACGCAATTTACAAATATGTTGTTCTCCTTGAAAGCACAGATCTCATACTATCTTTGATCAAATACATTGACAAGTCATTCATTTTTTGTGGTTTGCAACATTAAAAGGCGGATGTATATATTATTACTTTTGATTTCATGAGGGGAGCAAAAATTCTACTATGCTCCGATCTATCATACGCCTGAATTTTCGACTGTGAGATCTTGATTATTGGATTCTTGACCATGGAAATACGGATGTAACATAACTTGCATACAGAAAAATGGACATTGCATGATGAACCATGAACAGGCAGATGGGGAAATATAGAGTTTCTAAGAATATATGGCTGTTGGTGGCGGATATCTTGTATACTCTTCTTGATACTACTGTAAATTCATCCGTGTGAAGGCCAGAAAAATCTTGAGGGGTGGCCGTCGGGGTCGCCATGTAACTGGACTGCGACATTACTACTAACAGATGTAGTAGTAGTGGTAGTCCATGAATGAACAAGAAGGTAAGAAAACTTGAAATGGCAAGCATTTTTGTGCTTCCCTATTTCCGACAGAGAGTTGGGAGGAGAGTCATAACTCATAAGAGATTGATGTTTCTTGACTGCTCTATCTCTAGTACGAGTGGGTCAAAGTGGGTCACAGATACGGATAAGGATCCTCCCCAGAATCCGAATGTGAGGATCTTAGGAATCAAGTAATCTTGACCATACACAACAAATCAAACGGTTATAAATCCATATTCTTATTTTATTTATAGGGGTGTGCTATCCTCACACCCCTTTTTACTTCTCACACTTCTTGTTAATTTCTGTCATTTAATATTCTTTAATTCAATCGATCTAATGGTCGCAAATTTCGAGTGTGTATGAAGTAAAAAAGGGTGTGCGGATAGCATATTCCTTTTTACTTCTCACACACCCCTTGTTAATTTCTGTTATTTGATCTTCTTTAATTCAATCGATCTGCCAGTTGCAAATTAAGAGTGTGTGTATGAAGTAAAAAAGAGCGTGCGGATAGCACACCCCTATTTATATTTAACAAAAATTGGGTCCCAACAACCCCCTAACTTTCTCCTTTTCGATCTGGAGTAGGATTCTTTCTCCTTCTAATTTACCCCTCATTCATTTCCTTCCTATTTAAATGGTTACGATTAAGCCACGTCAACATCTTGTTTTGATTTCTAGGTGAAGTGCCGATTTAGTTCCTGAACTATCACCTTAGTGAAAATTAGGTCCCTGAATTAATTTTTGGGTAACATAAGTCCCTAAATTCATTAAAAACTGCTAATTTCATCCCTACTATTATATTCAAAGCTATTTTATCCAATTTTTGGTCAACTTAAGTCACTTCATACACTTTAGAATGTAATACCGTCTTTTTCTCGCCTATATGCCCATAACATTTCATATAGGTTGCGAATCCTATGTCTAATTTACTTTCCAAAGTTAACTCTGTTTGTACCATACTTGACCAATCCCGAAACTACTAAGCACCAGTCAACATTATACCGTCAAAGACCCAAAAGAGTTTCCCTCCAACCAGGAGGCTAATCACAGCACGACACATGTCGACATCAGAAGTCAATCATAGCGCGACAAGTGTCAACATCAGAAGCCAATCACAACACGACACGTGTCAATGTCAGAATGAAACTAGAAACTCTCTTCTATAAATAAAGATCATTCTCTCACAATATTTCCTAATGTCATTTGTACTAAATCATTCACTTGTACTCACTAAAGGAGAGCTTGAACTTATGTACTTGTGTAAACCCTTCACAATTAATGAGAACTCCTATACTCCGTGGACGTAGCCAATCTGGGTGAACCACGTACATCTTGTGTTTGCTTCCCTGTCTCTATCCATTTACATACTTATCCACACTAGTGACCGGAGCAATCTAGCAAAGGTCCCAAACTTAACATTTTCTGTTGTATCAAAGTCCTCATTGATTTTGTGCATTAACATTTGGCGCCGTCTGTGGGAACGACACTTATTCCCACTCTCTTCAGCTTTGTCAAGGTGGTTTCCACCATTTGTACACTCTCTTTTGACTAGGCATCCCTCTCCAACATGGGGAGCGAAAGAAGCCACAGCACACAGAATGACACCCCTCTTGCACCTAGTGCGAAACAACGAAAGAATGAAGGAAAGAGGGTTGTTCTTCAAGCTAAAGTTGATAAGCTAGAAGCTCAAAACAACAAGATAGCGATGAAGAATGAGGTCCTCCAAGATCAGTATGAGAAGCTCCACGA